TTTCTCTCTATTTGGCTACTTCCGTTACTCAAAGTTATGTTCTTTCTTAAGCATTCTAAAAACATAATTCTAATATCAAAATATTGTATAGGAAGATTACCACTTCATCATAAGAAGTTATCAGGATTAGACATAAACCCAAAACATATAGGAAATATCGGATTCTCAGGCAAATTCAATTTTCCGAAGTGGACAGTGATGGATAATCTACGAGAAGTGCCATCACGGTAAATGGAATTCTTTTTAATGATTACAAACTGATTTTCGGTCTTAGCCAGCCAGCCAATGAGGTCACTTACAATTAGAAATGTCACCATTGGCTAAAAGGATAATTTTAAGGATTTCATTCAGTGTATTGCTAGACACCTGAAGAACTAAAAAGCTGTCAGTTTCAGGCAACAAAGAGCCTTGGGAGCCACAAGCGTCAATAACACATGAGGGGACACAACTAGCGGGTCCATGTGTTATTGGACAGTCACAGGCACTAACCTCAAGTAAAAAGAAAGGGGACAGTAAAAATAAATATGTAAGTATATATTTAAGGAACATCTTTACTACTCTCTGAAATTGCTCATGATTCACTGATTTTGTTTTGTTCCCCAAGTTTTATGGCATTAACTTCCATATAGATCCACTTGTCACTAATGTGGATGTCAATAATCGTGCTACACAACAGCTCTGTAACAGCGTCGTTATCCTGTGACCACACTTTGCAGCCATGTTTTATGCGCAAAATTCTGCTGTAAAATCATAGCCAGTGACATCTCAGACAGAAGTCACAATCCCTTTAGAGATTTTACCAGAAGTAGAATGAAAAGTGGGGAGGGAAGAGGCGGGAACAAGCTCAACCCACTGATGATTCAGGAAGTTTGATGATTATTAGGAAGTTTTGTTCGTTTTTTCATGCAAGTTTTTTGGATGGAGTAGCCTAGAGTTGAATTCATGGGATTAGACTTTTCTTCCAGTGTCCAGTTCTCTCAATTGAGAATTTCATTTCATGTTGTGGAAGCATGACAGTGCATTTGGGTCCCCAGTCTTGGTGGGGTTAGTGGCTGTGCCATGACTGTATGACCTGCCCATCACAGGTAGACTTACAACATAGTCCCTAGCCTCAAAGGCATACGTGGGTTTCCCTATAGTCCTCTTCATGAGTTCTTTGTGAAAACAGAAAGACTGAGTCTGCCAATAATCAGCAAGAAAACAAGATAAAATAAATAAAATTAAAGTAACAATAGATTGTAACATCTGACAAACAACTTGTAAGGACTTTCAAATTTTTTTTGATTAAGTTTGATGGTATTTTTCCATACAATTAACTCTAAACTATGGGAAAAAATATGTCCATATTTTGGATATAGAAGTCCCTTGCATAGGCTATAAAGAGAAATCTTAAGACAGTAAAATTAGAGTTTACAGACTGCAAAATTGAGAACATACTATCTAATCTCATTTTTCTTTGACTTAAGTAAGGATGAAATAATGGTTAATGCTCTGGTGGCATACCAATCTTTAAAGATGCTCAGTGAAACAACATTGTCATATAAATGTCAATGGCTTACAACAAAAAATATTTTATCCTATTTAATTATTTAGAACAATGTCAGTTATGCTAAGAAATGTTTACTCAGGATTTATACACTCTCGTAATTGAAACGAATTATTGAAATCTAAATCTGAAAGCTGCAAAACATTAAAAGCCTTATTAAAATCACAAATTTTTTACTCTCCTAGAATGCTTTTTCTAACTAAATTATCTTTGAAATAATAGTCTTAAGTTAAAAAGTAAAATAAATAAAATGGTAGCAAGGACTGTATCATTTTGGTCATGGAGCCTATAAACCACACACCTTCCATGCTGAGATTGCTTTAAAATTGAATTTATTTCCCCAAACTTTATATTTGTTGTTTTGAATTTCCCAATCTTACTTCTATGATGTGTTTCCTTTTTCTTTTTTGTACTGCTAATTTCTAGAAGGAAGAATATCAAATCTGACCCTCACTAAGAACAGACTGACCCAGAATGAGGGAGGCAAAAATATTTTTCTGTTTCTTTACTAATGCTTCTAGTGTGTGTGTGTGTGTGTGTGTGTGTGTGTGTGTGTGTGTGTGTGTGTGTGTGTGACCCTCAGGAAAACACACTCACCATTTAATAATTTTTTAAAAACAAAAATTTGCTGAGTACATATTTGAGGAGTTAAAATAAAATTTATTTTGCTGATTATGGTAAAAAGGGTTTTCCTCTAAATCATCAAAATAATCAGTTTCCCATTTCATGGTTTGTCTTTAGGTATTATACTTTTTTCTAAACATTTTTTCATACATATTGATTAATGAAATTCTTTGGTCTTTTCCTAAATATTTAATACCATGAAACACAGATTCAGAAACCATTTGCAACCAACGAACCATGCAATCTTGAGAGAAGACTAGAACAGACACATAAACAAATGGTGAACAATCATGAATAGTCAACATATTTCATCATGAGAGTCCAAAAGACAAATGCAGGATGTTTATTATAAGTATAATAAATGAGTGCCTGGTAAAGGCTTTGGAAGAGACAGAGATGGGTTAACTGACTTACAACTAATATAAAACTTTATAGTCTAGCAAAAATACCCTGGTCCTGTGTTGGACATTCTTTGATGGACAGTGAGTGGAGTTCATTTTCTTTTTAAAGGTGACCAGTAAGGGGATCTTAACCCTTGACTTGGTGTTGTCAGCACCACGCTCTCCCACGAGGGCCATGGGCCGGCCCGTGAGTGGAGTTCTGAAAGGCAGCACAATCGAGCCAGGAAGCTGCCGACTCCTTAGCAAGTCCTAATAGCAGAGCTTAACATAATCCACCATCCACTTTTGAAGCTATACTCAGCCTTCTAACAATGGATCTCTTGACAGGTTTAGGAAATTATGTTTCTAATTCTTAAACTAATATGCTAGGTAGCCTTAAAATAAGATAATTTCCAAAGACTAAAAAGAGTAAGCCTTGGGGCCGGCCTGTGGCTCACTCGGGAGAGTACAGTGCTGGTAACACCAAGGCCACGGGTTCAGATCCCATATAGGGATGGCCGGTTGGCTCACTGGGTGAGCATGGTGCTGACAACACCAAGTCAAGGGTTAAGATCCCCTTACCGGTCATCTTTTTTTAAAAAAAAATAAAATAAAATAAATAAAAATTAAAAAAATAAATAAATAAAAAGAGTAAGCCTCACTGAAGGTAAAGAGAGAGAGAGAGAGAAAAAAAAAAAAGATAGTGTCACCAACTGTATTCCTTGCATAAAAAATTGAGATTCTTTTATTAAAGGAACTCTGCATATAAAAAAACATTTTTGTCCCTTGTTTTTAAAGGCAACAACCTAGTTATATATTTACGTTCCTTTTTGCACAAACTACTTTTTTTTTTTTTCTCTCTCTCTCTTTACCTTCAGTGAGGCT